CAAAAAAAAAAAAAAAAAAGCAGCTCAACTGTTTCCAACATTGATAATAAATCAGAATGATTTCTGAAAGATCATGTGACACTGAAGACTGGAGTAATGGCTGATGGAAATTCAACTTTGCATCAATAATAAATTATTATTAAAGGAATAAATTATATTTTAAAGTATAATAAAATAGAAAGCTGTTGTTTTACATTGTAATAATATGTTTCACACTATTACTGTTGTTTCTCTATTTTTGATCAAATGAATGCAACCTTGATGAGCAAAAGATATTTCTTTAAAAAAACATAAAAAATCTTGCTGATCCCAAACTTTTGAATGGCAGTGTACTTTGCTTTCAGTCAGTTTTAGCCACTTTCTTGGTGGCTTCTAGTGGTTTCAAGTACTCCAAAAAGTTACGAGCTGAGATTATATTGAGGTCAGTCTTTTTTGCTTCCAGAGCGCAGAAGTTAAATAGCTCTCTAGATGGGTTTGCGTCTGTAAACACCATGAAACCTGCCCGACCTTCACCGCCGTCTCGCCGGACAGATCTGGCAGGCATTTATTTACAAGATTGGCTTTTGGAAAACTCAGTATTCACTGAATTCACAGCTTTCCTGACCCCCGGGACTGAGTGGGGAATTGAAGCAGCTCAGAATACAGAAAAGAGACCATTAATGAGCATCTAGCGCCAGACGCCTGCTTGACCCAGTCTGGCCGGACAGATTATATATATATATATATCTGTCAGTGATTTCGGTGTGAGCAGATTCAGATATGATGCTATTTTGACAACATCTTGACTTGGATAACTATGCCATCCTGTTTTGTTCTTTTGTTGATGGTCTACAAGAAACACTTGAGTGAAAAGTGTGAAAAACTGAAAACCCTTTTTATATTTTTATACACACACACACACACACACACACACACACACACACACTTTTGCCATTATTGCCATTATTATTGTAATAATCCACTGAGATTTTTGTTTGCACAAGAAATCTGACAACAGCCAGTGCTCCACACCGAGATCTGATCTCATCATCATCCAGTCTGTCTGGAATAGCATGAAGAAACAGAACAAAACTGAGACAGACTAAATCCAGAACTGTGGCAACGTCTCCAAGATGCTTCAAGAAACCTACCTGCAAAGCTCCAGAGCTGTTAAAAGCTTTAGGCACTTGTGTAAAAATGCTGCAAAATGAGGATGCTATCAAAAATAATGTCATAAATAGATTTTCTTTATCAATTAACTTCTATTAACTAAATTAAATCAACATTTGGTGTCACCATCCTTTGCGTTTAAAGCAGCTTTTGCCCTCGGAGCACTTGCACATAGTTTTCAGGTAACTTTGCAGGTAGGTTTCTTTAAGCATCTCAGAGACGTTGCCACAGTTCTTCTGGATTAAGTCTGTCTCAGTTTGTTCTATTTCTTCTCCTTGTGCAAACAAACATTTCACTGGACTGTTAAAATTAATGGCAAAATGAATGTTTGGAAACCGATAAACTGATATTTCCTACTGACACACTACAGCAAAAGATAGAGGCCGTTTCATATAAAATAAAATAAAAGTCCACAAGACCAAAAGTACCCATAGTTGAAGAGCCAGCCGCTTATTATTAAGGGTTCAGGAAAGCCTCTAACCCTAGAATGAGCAATAATAGTAGTGATGCTTGCCTTGGCAAACACCAATAGAAATGACAGCAATACCTTTCTCAGCGTGATCACACCCTCTCTAGTGTCTTTGTCTGTGGAGATGGAGAACATTCCGGCCCCCTCGGGGTTCAGGATGCTGTATTTGATCTCTGCATTGATTCCGATGTCCTCATCGTTGGCTTTGATCTTCCCCACTGGTTTCCCCACCTGTGCCGACTCTGGGACAAACACCTGGTAATTCTCTGCAGACACACACAAAAGCCCGCATGGAGGTTTGTTCGATTGGCTGGATGGTATTTTTGAATCATAGCTATCATGATGCCTCTATCCAGCTGTGCCTCTGAACAAGCCACATTGAGCTACTCTGGAAGGATTTCAATACGGCTGTCAGACCCCAAAAACAGCCACAACCACAGTCCCACACCACCTGATTAAAAAAGCTGGATGCAATAGAGCGCAACTATTGTTCCAAAGTATTTATGGGATTTCAAAAAACCTTTGATTTAAAGGAAAAGCAAAATACTAATAACTGCTGCAAATGATAAAAGAATAAAAAATAACCATACAAATGTGTTATGTATGTGTATATTTAACACATACATATAGTAGTGGTGTCAAAATTAGCATGTTAACGCAGGCGATACATTTTTTCAGTTTAACGAGTTAAAAATATTTAACGCAATTAACGCAGGGGCAGGGCTAGGGTTGGCCACCCCACTCACAACTGCTGCTTCTGTCACTTTTTCTCTTGACAAGAAGTGCATTTATTCAGTCGCTGAACGACTGAGAACAGGAGATGTTTTAGACGAGCGCTCCACTTCACTTCAGCGCCAGGAAACGGTACTGTGCTCACAGCGCGTGCTCTTCAATTGCACGCACAAAGGCGCCGGCGCGCGCTGTAGCCTGTATCCTTTCATATCAAAGCGTGAAATAAACTACATGCATGCAATGCCATGGTCAGTTAAGTCATAAAGTTATCAAATATGCGATTAAAGCTGCCTTAAAACTGTGCAGGCATGTAATATATTTTATATGAGTCACATTTAAAGAAATAACAGCCAAAATAACCTAATAACCAGCTGCTGTGACGTCTGTTAATCAAAGGACAAAGAAAAAAGAGGAATAAATGTACTTATTTTTGATGTAAGTACATAGTAGTTAAGGCCACTTAATATAAAGTGGGACCAAAAATTTTAATCGATTGACAGCACTAATATATATACAGTGTAACAGGACTAATACACAGCACAAATGAGTACACCCCATCTGAATAAATATAAAAGATGTATAAATATAAAATATATATAATATATATATTATATTATAAAAAATATATAAAATATGAGATAAAGTGTCACTCTTTTCGTAGCTTTTGCCGGCTCTGAGACACTTGCATGTTATTTCTCCTGCTCTTTATCTAGCAAAAATTCACTCATTACTAAATGCAAACTTAAAGTGAAGACCTGATTATTTCAGGAGCCTTATCACAAGTCCATAGTTTTTGAATGTCGGTGCTACTTCTGCTATATTTTCACACTTAAAACAATAATTTCGTATTCCTCTTGTACCATTGTCCTCTTTTATGCTAAGAAATAAGTCACCTGGCAGTTCTCTCCCAAGTGGTTCCACTGCTGCCAGCATTAAGTCTGAGTATGATTCAGTGGGCTATATAACACTTTTAATTGTCAGGAAATTACTTGTCTTTAAAAGTTTTGGTTCAATATACTTACCTGTTGATCAAAAATAGCCTTAAACCTATACACTTTTTTTTTTTTTAGTTAATAACTTTCAGGAGGGTGTACTCATTTTTGCAACACAAAATTGTATCACTTTGATAAGAAAATCTTATTTTGCTGAATAATTTTGGCATTCTTCTTTGGTAATTGATCAAGCAGGCTTGTTGGAACATTACATCTCCAAAGAACCCTAACATGTCTTCTAAGTAAAGAGTAATTGCTGAATTTGTTAAGTTTTAGAGGGGGTGTACTCATTTATAGGTTTAGGGCTTTGAAAAAATGCCCTCTCCATGTTTATTTTTTCGTGACCTCTAGATGTCACCAAGTCTTATCTCAACACATTTATTGAATGGTTATTATGCTGTAGAGTAAAAATAGTGTTTTCCAATCAAATAAAAAAATTAAAAAGACACCCCACCCCCCCAGAACTGGGGCAAAAGGTTCCCCGTGCAATGTTGTTGCTGGTGTTAATTTAATAATTATTATTATTCATGGAGTTTTTATATAATTATTAAATATAACATTTAAAATAATTCTATTCTATAACTGAATTGTCAAAATGTATAGATTTACATAGAATATTCATTGTTTATAAAGTATTTTACATTAATGACAACGTTTCAAAAAATTAAATCATTAAAAAGGATAACATTTTACATATCTTGAAAACAAAATCAGGAAATCTGGAAAAAATTGGACAAATCAGGCAGTTTAACTTTCAAGTTTTTCAAGAGGCTCTTTTTATGATTTTCAGTTTTGTGCTTTAGAAACCAAATTAACAAATCTATTGCCCTAAAAGTCAGCATTAAACAGAAATTTTGACCATCTTTCTTCTCTATTATGATGTGTTTCCAAGATTAACAGCTTCTCACAAAAAAAAAAA